GATCATATGGTTTCTATTTTTCAGTTTGTTTATATGGTGGATTACATTGATAGATTTTCATATGTTGAACCATCCCTGCATCTGTGGGATGAAGCCGACTTGATCATGGTGAATGATGGTTCTGATATGTTCTTGGATTTGATTTGCCAGTATTTTATTTAATATTTTTCTTCAACGTTTATGAGTGAGATTGGTCAATAATTCTCTTTCTAAGTAATGCCTTTCTGTGGTTTGGGTATCAGGTTAATTGTAGCCTCATAAAAAGAGTTTGACAATGTTCCTTTTGTTTCTATTATGTGGAATAATTTGAGGAATATTGGTATTAGTTCTTCTTTGAAAATCTTATAGAATTTGAGCTGAAGCCATCTGGTCCTGAGCTTTTTTTTGGTTGGGAGACTTTTGATGACTGTTTCTATTTCTTCAGCAGTTATAGGTCTATTTATTTGCTTATCTGGTCTTGATATAATTTTGGTAAGTGATATTCACCCAGAAAGTTGTACATTTCCTTTAAGTTTTTTAATTTTGTGGAGTACAGGTTGTCAAAACATGACCTGATCGTTCTCTATTTCCTCTGTGTCTGTTGTTCTGTTCCCCCTTTCATATATGATTTTGTTAATTTGAATATTCTCTCTGCCTTTTGGTTAGTTTGGATAAAGGTTTGTCTATTTTGTTGATTTTATCAAAGAACTAACTCTTTGTCTCATTGATTCTTTGTATTGTTTTCTTTGTTTCTATTTTGTTGATTTCAGCTCTCAATTTGATTATTTCCTGCCATCTAGTTCTCTTGGGTGAGTTTCCTTCTTTTTTTTCTAAATTCTGCAAATGTTCTGTTAATTCACTAGTGTGGGATTTCCCCAGCTTCTTTATGTAGGCATTTAGTGCTGTGAAGTTTCCTCTTCACACTGCTTTCATTGTGTCCCATAAATTTGGGTATGTTTTGTGGTCATTTTCATTAAATTTTGGAAGTCTTTAATTTCTCTCTTTATTTCTTCCTTGACCCATTGATGATTCAGGTGAGGACTATTTAATTTCCATATGCTTTTGGGCTTTCTGGAATTAGTATTGCTGTTGACTTCTATTTTTAAACCATGGTGATTTGATAAGATACATGTGGTTATTCCAATTTTTTTTGTATTTGTTGAGGTTTGTTTTGTTACTGAGAATGTGGTCAATTTTTGAGAAGGTTCCATGAGGTGCTGAGAAAAAGGTATATTCTTTTTTGTTTGGATGGAATATTCTATAGATGTCTGTTAAGTCCATTTGAGTCATAACATCTGTTAATTCCCTTATTTCTCTGTTAATTTTTTTGTCTGATTGACCTATCAGTGATGAGAATGGAGTGTTGAAGTCTCCCACTATTAGTGTGTGGGGTTTAATGTATGGTTTAAGCTTTAGAAGTGTTTTTTTTCATATGAGGGTGTTCTTGTATTTGGGGCATAGATGTTCAGTATTGAGATTTCCTCTTGATGGATTTTTCTGTGACTAATATAAAATGTCCTTCTTTGTCTCTTTTGATTGATTTTAGTTTGAAGTCTATTTTGTTAGATATCAGGATAATTACTCCCACTTGTTTCTTAGGTCCATTTAATTGGAATATTTTTCCCAACCCTTTTACTCTGGGATGATGTCTGTCTTTGAGGTTGAGGTGTGCTTCTTGTATGCAGAAGAAGCATGGATTCTGTTTTCATATCCAATCTGTTAGCCTGTGCTTTTTTTATAGGTGAGTTGAGTCCATTTATATTAAGTGATATTAATAACAAGTGATTATTATCTTCTGTTAATTTAGTTTTCATTGTTGGTGATGTTAATTTGTGCATTTTCCCATTTTTTGGGATTTGCTGCTATGAGACCATCAATTGTCTGTGTTTTTGTGGATGTAGCCAACTTCCTTGGGTTGGAGTTTTCCTTCTAGTATTTTGTATAGGGCTGGGTTTGTGGATAGGTATTGGTTAAATCTGGTTTTGTCATGGAATATCCTGTTTTGTCCTTCTACGGTGATTGAAAGTTTTATTGGGTATAGTAGTCTGGGCTGGCATTAATAGTCTCTTAATGTTTGCATAACACTTGACCATGACCTTCTGGCTTCCATTGTCTCAAATGAAAAATCAGGTGTAATTCTGATAGGTCTGCCTTTAAATGTTACTTGACCTTTTTCCTTTGAAGCTCTTAATATTCTTTTTTTACTCTGCATGTTTAGTGTTTTGATTATTATGTGGTGAGGGGATTTTTTTGGCTCTAGCCAATTTGTTGTTCTGTAAGCTTCTTGTGTCTTCATAGGCTTGTCTTTCTTTAGGTTGGGAACGTTTTCTTCTATGATTTTGTTAAATATATTTTCTGTGCTTTTGAGTTGAACTTCTCCTTCTATACCCTTTATTCTTAGGCTTGACCTTTTCATGGTGTCCCATATTTCCTGGATATTTTGGGTTAAGCTTTTGGTAGATTTAATGTTTTCTTTGACTGGAGTCTATTTCCTATATTGTATCTTCAGTGTTTGAGATTCTCTCTTCCATCTCTTGTATTCTGCTCTTCTTGCTTGCATTTGTAGTTCCTGATCTTTTTCTTATGATTTCTGTTTCTATAATTTCTTTGGTTTGTGTTTTCTTTATTTTCTCTATTTCAGTTTTCAAGTCTTGAATAGTTTCTTTCATACGTTTGATTGCTTTTTCTTGGTTTTCTTTAAGGGACTTGGTGATGTCTTCCATTTTTTGTCTTTTCCTCCATTTCTTTGAGAGAATTTCTCATTTCCTCTTTAAGAGTTTCAAACATTCTCCTAAAGTTATTTTTTTTGGTCATTTTCTTCTGCTTCTTCTAGATTTGGTTGTTCAAGTCTTGCTGTTGTAGGATCTTTAGGTTTTACTGGTGTCATATTGCTCTTTGTGGTGTTGCATGTGTTCTTACCTTTTCTACTCACCTTTTCCTCTAATAGGTGTGTTTGGGGCTGTTAGTGATTCTGTTGATTCATATTCTAGGTGCCTGTGAATCCAAGGCTCAGATGGTTGTTCCTCATGGTACAGTCAGTGCCATGGTTCTAGTTACCACTTTGGTCACTCTGTGTTTTGGAGGTCCCTCAGTGCTCCCGGGCTTTGCTCCACCTTCTTGGAGTTTGCTATCTCAGGCTTGCTCTAGCCTAGGTTATCGGCTCAGACCAGTTTCTGTAAATCTTTGTCTGGATCTGTTCCTGCAGAGGTCCCTGACTTGGTCCTGCAAAAGTCTCTGTCTCTGGTGTACTCCCTCGGAGTTCCCTGACTCATGCCTGAACCTGCAGAGATCTCTGGTTCCTGCCTACTCCCTTGGAGGTCCCAGATTCATGTCTGGACCCTCAGCGGTCTCTGTTTATGGCTTAATCACTCAGCGGTTGCTCCCCTGTATCTGTTCTTGTGGAATTCCCTGTTTCAGGTCTGCTCTGGCCCAGGTCACTGGCTCAGTCTTGATCCTCCAATGTCCATGAAGTGGATCCACTCCTCCTCCTGTGGAATTTGCTTCCTCAGGCCCACTCCAGCCTAGGTAGCTGGTTCAGTCCCACTCTTGTGGAATTTGTTGTCTCAGGCCAGCTCCAGCCCAAGATGTAGTTTGTTGTTTTGGGCCTACTTTGGCCTAGGTTACCCTCTCCATGTGATTTTTATAGCCAGAGTTATAACTGTGCCACACACACACACACACACACACACACACACACACACACAATAGCACACCTCCTCTAGGAGATGAGGTAGAAAGCTGGTTAGTGACGGGAAGGTTTTGTTGTTGCTGTTGTTTTCCTCAATAGGCTATAGTTTAGATCTAAGGTAGAGTGGAAGAATACAGTGGGTGGAGGAAACTTGTTCCATGGATATCATGTAAGTCAAGTTGGAGGGAGCTAAATCTATAGATTGAGGCATTGGCTAAAATAACCAAATGGTGTGTTCCAGAGTGAATTATTATTAAATTATAAACTCTAAGACCCTAGAATTGTGCATATTATTTAGGAAATGACTGACTTCAGAAAGACAAATCATTTAAGATTTTTAAAAATACAGTTTATTTGAATAGTGAATATATTACTACTAAATGGCCTTTCATAAAAAGCTGAAGCTTATGAGAAAACTGCTAAAAAATAAACAAATTTTGAATAAAAACTCAGCTTTTATAGTTTCCAAAATTTTGTGAAAATTGGAATTACAGAATGATTGTGAATAGGCAACAAATACACAATATTATGAGAAAAACATTAACCGAAGTGAGTATGCTTAGCCAAATCCGAGAAGGAAGTTTCTATTAAAGTCATTATTTCCAGTTAGGTGTGCTCATCACAACTGCAGGAAATACTTCAGAAACAAGAATGCCCAACCTTTTGGTTTTTCCAACATGTGTCATCATCTAAAAAGTTCCTACTTGAGAACTATACAACTAAATTACAGAATAAATGTTACAAAAGGAAATTCCATGATATTTTAAGTAAGTTTTTGATTTTGTGTTGGACTATATTCATAGGTATCCTGGGCTTCTTTTGGCCCACAGGCCACAGTTTGGTCATCCTTGGTAGATGTTGAAATCTCTATTGTAATCCAAAGCTGTTCTGGAAATAGCTCTGTAGCACAGGCTGGCCTCCAACTCACAGAACTCTGCCTGCCTCTGCCTTCTTAATGCTGGGATTAAAGGCATGTGCCACCACCGCCTGGCTAAGAATTAGTTTTCTGCTTTTTTCTTTTTTTCTTGTTTTTAAGATAGGGTTTCTCTGTACCTTTGGAGCCTGTCCTGGTACTAGCTCTTGTAGACCAGGCTGGCCTCGAACTCATAGAGTAGTTTTCTTTAATAAGCTTATGATTGCAGTGTTATTTCTAGTTCCATATCCACAGCCTGGCTTCAGTCCAGTCACAAATAAAGCTCCATAGAGTAGGCCTCACTGCAAGATGGCTGTGAACCATCTTTAACATCAAACAAGCATTGCTTAAGAATAAATTGCATATACAAAAAGTTACAGTTTATGGTATTAGTTCACTGATGCTACAATCACTCAGAGATTTACTGATACTCAGATGCTTTCTTTATTATCAATGCTCAATGCAATTTCAAGCCACAAGACACAGAAGCATAATTTCTATGTAGGTGACAATGTGAATAATATAACTCAAGTTTAAATAACATGACTAGAACATCAACATTCTCTCTATTTGACAACTAAAACCATTAATGAATTAGATGATATTATTATATTAGGAAGCACTTTAAGTAATATGAACTGGAGCACATAACTATATTTTATGCTGATAAATACAAATAAAATAACAATCAATGTCTATGCAACAAATAAATAAAACCTTTTGTTTGGGAACCTTGTTTTGAGTTTGGAATCCCTCTGATACAATGTTCCCTTTCTCCTACATTCCTTTGCTAAGACTCCCCAGGAGCAAGTAACATTTTCATCTTCAAATACTACAACAACTTCTCTGTACTTTGCCTATGACATTTATTCTTATTCTATGGTATTTGTCTTTTGTCCTAATAAAGTAAGTCCAAGAGGACAGAGTGTAAGGTGTATGTCAAATATATGGGAATCATTTTAAAATCACAACTGGCCCTAAATTAATTTTTAAAACAATTTATGCATATGTGTGTGCCTGAATGTATATATGTGCACATATGTGCAAAAGCTCACAGAAGTCAATAGAAAGCATCAGATCTTCTGGAACTGGAGTTGCAGATGGTTCTGAGCTACCATGTAGGTTCTGGGTATTAAACTTGGGTCCTCTGCAAGAGCAATAAGTGCTTTTAACCTCTGAATCATTCATTTTTCCAGACCCTGATCTGAAGTCTTTGGCCAAGAGAATATTTTAGCTTTAGTTTTTTCATCTGGACTGTTACTTCAGCTTGGTATCATCTTTCCTCTTTATTTATACAAAAAGTCTTGTCAGTTACATTAACAAATTTTATGCTGCTAATCCAATGGTCCGTTTTCATTTCTTATCATTTTTGAGCTATTAATCTTTCAAAATGATCCTGAGGTCTGAGTGAAATACGGTATCAAATACTCAGCAAAACATACCTTCTAATGTCACCAGTATTTTCTGTGACCTTTGGTAGATTATAAATAGTGCTTGTTCACCTTTCTGAACTTTTCATCATTCAATTTTCTACTTCCAGATCACTTCAATATTTTATCCTTTCTCTTAATTTCTAGCATCTCCTCCAGTCTTATTCTCATTGAACCAGTTCGCTTCCTAGTCACTGCACACTATCACGTTAAAGGGGAGTGGATGTGCATTTGCCATCACATCATATGGGAGCATCTTCTTTGTTTCTGTTTGTTATAGTTTTCATTTTATTTTATTAGTAAGCCTTTATTTCCGAGAAACTACTCCACTAAAATTCAAGCTTAGAAACCCTTTTCTTTCTCCCTTGCTTTCATTTTTTTTTCTATTAGGTCATCTTGATCATCTTATAGGAACTGTGGGATAGATGCATATATTAATCATTCAAAAGTCTTTTTTAAATAGCTATTTTTCTATGATTATCTGATCCATTACAGAAGCACTCCTAGATATAGCACATCTACCTATAGTTTGTACTTCAATTTCTGTTCTTTCTCTTAAGATTAATCCAACTTCTTTCTCCTTTATTTCTACTAAAACTATTTTTGTCAGGTTCACCAACAAATTTTGTGCTCCTAAATCCAATGGTCAATTTTCATTGCTTGTCATTTTTAAGCTGTCAATAGCAATTTCCTTCTTCCCCAAGCTCTCTGTACCTCTGCACACCACACTTGTGGGTGGGTCTCTCTTTTGCAGCCTTTTTTTCCTTATTTTACAGCTCCTCACATTAGAAGTCATAAGGTTCGGTTCTTGGACTTTTTCTTGTCTGTAGACTCTTTAAACTCCATGATGATCTGATTCAGTCTCTTTATTTATGTATGCATTTGTATGTTCAGTATTATCTGTGATGGTTGAGATGTGAATTTTTCAACTGCCTCCTTGATACTTTTATTTGATTATTTATTAGATATCTCACATTTAACGCCCCCAAAGTAGTCTGTTCATCACATTCTGAATCATCTTAATAACAACTTTATCACTCCAATGACTTAGGTCCCAAATTCCTGGCATCATGATCAATACCTTTCTTCATCCTTTAAATCCAGACACAAAACATCGTTTAAGCTCCCTTCCTAATTATCTTTAAAACGCATGCAGTGTATGGCCTCTTCTTGCCAGATTGTTGTTCCTTGCCTGAATTGTATCAGCCTCTTTGTTGATTCCCTTCTTCTACCCTTAACTTTCTATAGCGTCTTATTTACCCAGTAATTAAGATGACTATGTAGTTCTTCTGCTTAGTATGCTTCACATCTCAAAATAAAATCTTATTACAATGACCTAGCCCACCCTATCTAATCATCCAGCTCCTTCAACAGTACCTCTCTGAGTATGTATTTCCTATTTGATCAATTCACTTTAGGTCACACAAGCCACTTTGTATGCAAACACAGCAAGACTTCTTAGTCTTTGAACTTGCTCCTGTTTGTATATTCTTTGCATCCTCTTCTTCTATGTACTTACTTGGTTGACTCACTACTTTCTCCAGTCTTTGAATAAATGCCATTTTCTTAGTGAATACTTTCTATGTAATCACTTTCATTTATCTATCTTCTTTCCCTGTTTAATTCTCTTTAATGATACTTACTTTATTCTTATCCCCCGCCCTTTGAGACAGGTCCTCATCCAGCCACCCTACCCTCAAATTCGCAATGTGACTGAGACCAGGCATAAATTCCTGATCTTTCTTCTGTTTCCCAAGTGCTAGAATCATAAGCATGCACTACCATACTTGACTTTATTTCATTCTTAAGCATTTTAAATTATTCTTAATAATTTTATTAATCACATTTGTTACATATTTACTAAATAATAGACATTTTAAAAACTAAGACCTTCAGTTAGCAATATAAAGTAGGTAAGTAAATAATATTGTACATGACTATTAAAGACTGATACAAACAATATTTACTTAAGACCATGTTTAAGAAAGACTTGAGAAAATATTAAAGCAAATCTTGAACATATATATATATGTATATATATATATTTCAGTTTCATTATATACCAGCTTGTCATGTTATCAGCTTGCTGAGTTGTATGGATCAACAGAATATACTTCTCGTGTTTCTAAATGAAAAGTTCCTTCTTTAGGTCTTGTCTTTGTAGAATAATTGCTAAAAGAGAAACATAAGAAAAAGCTGTCAAATCTTTACTAATTAACTGTGATTATGGTGAGGGTTCATTAGCTGTCTGCTTTTTATCATCCAGAAAATTGTATTTTCATGTGTGATTTCATCTCATTTTCTTAAATATTAAAAACCATAGGCCCCCATTTTAAGGGCACCTAAAAATAAATAATTTACTAGTTTGATATTTGTTCAAGTTAGAATTAAATTTAGAATTTAACAAGTCTAAAATGTTATCACTAGAGTGAAATGCTTTGTGATATAGAGGGTAGACTTCTCTACAGGAACTTAAAAGATACCCAATACACATCTTAATTTGTAAAAAGTAAATTAAAAAATGTATAAAATAACACATAAAAGTCAAACAAACAAACATCCAATGATAACACTTGAAGATATTTTGAAATATTCTGTTTAATGGTTTTTTTAATATTCCTTCCTTTGTTTTGTAAACTTTCATATAACCTTTTGTGTAACTTCCTTTGGTTTATATAAAGCTTTTCAATCATTATTGTATTTCTAAAATATAAAAGTAAATATATTGGTTCTAAAATTAAATGATTTATGTAGGAAATACTGCATTTATTCTTCTATACTACTATTGATGTCTTTAAAGCCCAAATGTTAAAGAATTCCAGTGATTTTCTGAGAATATATAATGTGTCACTATGTCTAGGATTCATACACATGATTTTATAAAAAGTTTGAAAGTAATGCTAGAGAAATAGGAGGCATATGAAGAGATAATGATCATGTCTGATCATTGGTAATATAGTAACTATTGATTGCCTCCTTATATTAGCACCATGCTATACTACCAGGACATAGACTTTGACGTTAAGAAGGTCATAGTAGGGTAAAAGAGGTCAAACTTGCAACTCAACAAGTATCATGATGTTACCATAGTTAATTATATTTGGTGAGGACACAAAGCAGTGATTAATGTCTAATAGTTTTATTTGAATAGTTAAAAAAACCCCAAAGGTAAAAACAAAGAGAGGACTGTGTTCTAGGTAGAATGAAGTATTTGATAATGGACAAGAGCCTTGGCTTTCTACTATGGACTTTGAGAACATCCATATAATTGGATATGACTGGAAATAGTGTATGTGACAGTAAAGATGGCATAGGTTTAGATACAGATGTGACATAAAAGCCCTCTGACCCTTGAATCTTGTGGAAACTACAGAACAATGCTATATGTAAAGGATATCTTTCATAAAGTATGTACACCAGGTATCTACCTGGGTATGTTTTGTGCATGCTAGTATCAGAAAAGATACTCAGAGAAAAATTTGCCAAGTATCAGGTAACATAGAGCTGGGAAAGCTTAAGTCATGCTAGCCCAACCATTACACACACACACACACACACACACACACACACACACACACACATCAGTTCATATAAGTTGTGTTTTTAAAATTGGAGACAAGAACCCAAAAACTGTAGTACTTATTGGTCAAACATTCATTTGAACTTACCGTTCTTTATGTCTTAACATCATACAGAAGATGACACCAACCAAAATAATGACTACTGAGCCTGCAGAAACACCTGAAGGGGGAAAATAAACGTTTAATGCCAGAAAAAAATGACTTAGATTGCTAGGAGCTGATTGTAGGGCTTACTCCTACTGGTACAGAAGTTGTTAATGTGATTTTTTTTTATGTAGGAGGGTTATCTGTCTATGTGTTACTTTCATTGGTTAATAAAGAAACTGCCTTGGCTTTTGATAGGACATCAGCTTAGATAGGTGGAGTAGACAGAACAGAATGCTGGGAGAAAGAAGCAGAGTCAGGCAGACACCATGGCTCTCCTCTCTGAGATGGATGTGGGTTAGAATCTTCCCGGTAAGCCATGAAATCGTGGTGATATACAGATTATTAGAAATGGGTTAATTAATATGTGAGAGTTAGCCAATAAGGGGCTGGAGACAATGGACCAGGCAGTGTTTAAACAAACACAATTTGTGTGTTGTTATTTTGGGTGTAAAGCTATCTGTGTGGGAGCCAGGTGGGACAAAAAGCAGGCCTGCTTGCCTCTTCACTACAATTTTTTAGTACATTTTTCTTAACCATAAACTCTAAATTACTGAATAATCATGATTGAGCTTTAAGTTTTTCTAGTTGTATCTAGTCGATGTTTTGTCTGCAGCACATGGACCACAGGACTCCAGTCAACTTTCCATCATGTTTTCTCTGTTCTTTTTCAGTTTCATTGGTAAACAATTTTGTCCTTAGAGTGTAATTAGGAACACAGGATAGGATACCAGAGTCCCATGATTTTTGCATAGTAACATTTGACCCTTCGTTGTGAAGTATACTTTGATGTCGCAGAATAAGATTTCTTATTTCAATTGTACCAAATATCAAGAGCAAATGAAAAGAGACTTTCAATTTAAAAACCTTGAAAACACTTTCAACTCTAACTTAAGTGGACAGTTTATAATGCACCAAGAATATTAAAATACCTTTAAAACATTTTATAATGCACCAAAAATATTAAAATACCTTTAACCCAAAGAATTAAAATTAAACATATTAATGTGTATAATGTAGAACATCTAATTATATATATTTATTAAAAATTATAAAAACTCTTCTCCAAATATTTAAGAGAACTCACCACAAATAAGAGGCATAGTTGACCCTAAAGAGAAATAAAAAAATCATGAAACATCAGTCTGGCAGTACAAGTCAATGTCATTTAGGTACCATTACATCTGGAAATGTCCCAGAAGTCGATACTCAGATCCCATTTTGTCTAGGATATAGATAGTGGTTACACAAGTTATAATTACTCTTATATTTTGTTAAAATTAAATGGATATCATCCCGCTTCAATTAGTTAAGTTGTGGGAGTTTATCAGTACACTCAGCTCTATAGTCAGTGATTTTCGAGATCAAATGAAAATATGAACTGTTATAACAGGCTAGTTGACATGTTTTTGGAATTCTTCTCAAGTTGGTAAGCACTTAAATATCAGCAAAGAGAAAAGTCTCACAGAAGTTTCTTTCAAATAGAAGGCTATAAGTTTGACATGTTTGCCCCTTTTAGAGTATTGATGTGATATGCCCCATCCTAATCTATACTTTTCTTTATATTGACTATTGCCTTTCAGTCAATCTGTTGTCACAAAACTGTTCATTATGTCAAAGCCCTGTGAATTTCCTACACTGATAGATACTCAATTCCCCTCCTTCACAGGCCACATATAAATAGTGGTGAGACACTTGCACTTACGATATTTGCAGATAGCCAGGGGAGGATCCCACTGGTGATCATCCTGGCATTGGCTCTGAGGACTTCCCTCCAAGGTATAACCATCTTCACATTCCAAAGTCACAGTAGCTCCATACCGATACATTTTCCCAAGCTGGAGTCCCTTCTGGATTCCATTTGTAGCCTCAGGAAAGCTACAGTTTACCTCTGCAATTAAAAAAATCTTACTAATACATAGTCATGATTTGTCCTTTACCAAAAAAGTAGAAACTGTCTTTACTAGAAAGGTTATGAAATCAACTTACTTCATGATCACTAAACAAAGCTTCAGTGGATAGCATAAGCCAATACCCTGGGCAGTTATTGCAAAGCATTTTTCAACAGCTACCTGGCAATTTAAACTGCGTTGTTTTTTGTTTGTGTGTCTATGTTAACAGTGTTTAAATACTTCTAATGCTTTCTTAAAGAAATACTAAGGGTCTCTTAAAGAATTGGAGGAAAAGACAACCAAAAATTTGGAGGAAACTAGTACATCTCTTAAAGAATGTCAGAAAATCAGTGTGGCGATTTCTCAGGAAATTAGAATCAACCTACCTCAAGATCCAGCAATACCACTCTTGGGAATATACCCAAGAGATGCCCAATCATACTACAAAAGCATTTGTTCAACTATGTTCATAGCAGTGTTATTTGTAATAGCCAGAACCCAGAAGCAACCTGGATGCCCCTCAATGGAAGAATGGATAAAGAAAGTGTGGAACATATACACATTAGAGTACTACTCAGTGGTAAAAAAAACAATGACATCTTGAATTTTGCATGCAAGTGGATGGAAATAGAAAACACTATCCTGAGTGAGATAACCCAGACCCAAAAAGATGAATATGGTATGTACTCACTCATTAGTGGATTCTAGCCATAAACAAAGGACATTGAGCATATAGTTCACAAGCCTAGATAAGCCAAATAATAAGGTGAACCCGAAGAAAAGCATATTTAGATCCTCCTGGAAATTGAAAGCAGACAAGATCGCCAGGTAAAGTTGGGAGCATAAGGGTGGGGGTGGAGGGAGGGGAAGGGGAGAGGGGGAAGGGAGAAGGGAAGGATTAGGGAGAGCTTGGGGGAGTGGGAGGGTTGAAATGGAGGTAGGGCAGATATAGGAGTAGGGAAGAAGATACCTACATTAAGGGAGCCATTTTAGGTGTGGCAAGAGACTTGGCTCTAGAGAGGATCCCAAGTGTCCACAGGGATGTCCCCAGCTAGGTCCTTGGGAAGCAGAAGAGAGGGTGCCTGAACTGGCCTTGTCCTATAGTCACACTGATGAATATCTCGAATATCACCATAGAACCTTCATCTGGCGATGGATGGAGATAGAGACAGAGACTCACATCAGATCACTGGACTGAGCTCCCAAGGTCCAGTTAGAGTGCAGAAGGAGGGAGAAGATAAGAAAGGAAGTCAGGACCGCGAGGGGTTGGTCCACCCACTGAGACAGTGTGCCTGATTTAATGGGAGCTCACCAAATCCAGCTGGACTGGGACTGAGTGAGCATGTGATCAAACCGAACTCTCTGATTCTGGCTGACGATGGGGGCTGACTGAGAAGCCATTGATAATGGCACTGGGACTTGTTTCTACTGCATGTACCAGCTTTTTGGAATCTTAGTCTGTTTGGATGCACACCTTCCTAGGCCTGGATGGAGGTGGGAGAGCCTTGGACTTCCCATAGGGCCCTCTCTTAAGACTGGAGAGGGAGTGGGGAAGCAGGAGGGGAATGGGAGGAGGGGAGGAAGTAGAAATTTTTGAATGGAAAAATAAATAAAAATTTTAAAAAAGAATGTTGGGAAAACTAAGAAGAAAAACCAAACAGTTGGTGGAAACAAATATAACTGTTAAAGACCTTAAAATGGAAATAGAAGCAATAGAAAAAATACAAACTGAGGGAATGCTGGAAAAGAATAAGTGATGTAAGAATCACCAAGACAATACAAGAGATGGAAGAGAAAATCTCAGGCACTGAAGATCTGATCAAGGAGATAGATTCATTAGGCAAAGAAAATGTTAAATCTAAAAAATTCCTAACAGAAAATTTCTAGGAAATCTCGAATACTATGAAAAGACAAAACCTAAGAATAATAGAGATAGAAGAAGGAGAAGAATTTCTGCTCAAAGGCCCAGAAAATGTATCCAACAAAATTATAGAAGAAAAATCTCCCAACCTAAAGAAGGATATACCTATAGAGGTACAAAAAATGTATATAACACCAATAGACTGGACCAGACAAAACATCCCTTCACAATATAATAATCAAAACACTAATCATACAGAATAAAGAAAGAATTTTAAAAGCTGTAAAGGAAAAAGGTCAAGTAACATATACAGGCAGCCTGTCAGAATTATGCCTGACTTCTCAATGGAGACTCTAAAAGCCAGAAGAACATGGATAGAGTTTCTTCAAACTTTAAGAGACCACAGATTCTGGTCCAGACTATTAAACCCAGCAAAACTTTCAAAACCATTGATGGAGAAAACAAGATACTTCAGAACAAAAGTTAAATTTAATCAATATCTATCTACAAATCCAGCTCAACAGAAGTACTAGAAGGAAAAGTCCAACACAAAGAAGTTAGCTACACCCACAAATACACAGGCAATAGATAATTACACATCAACAAAACCCAAAAAGGGAAGCACACCACTACCACCATCACCAAATAACAGGAATTAGCAAACACTAGTCATTAATTGATGCGGGAATTCCTTCTGTATATGTGTTGCTTTCATTGGTTAATGAATAAAGAAACTGCTTAGGCCTATGACAGGGCAAAATAGAGCTAGGCAGGAAAACTAAACTGAATACTGGGAGAAAGAAGGCAGAGTCAGAGAGATGTCATGTAGCTGCTGAAGGAGAAAGATGTAAGATGCCAGCTTGAGTCTCATGGTAAAACACAAAATAACAGAAATAGGTTAATTTGAGATGTAAGAGTTAATTAATGAGAAGCCTAAGCTAACAGGCCAAGCAGCATTGTAATTAATATATTTTCTGTGTGATTATTTTTTGTGTCTGGGCATCTGGGAGCAAATAAACAGCCTCTGCCTACAATTAATATCAATGAACTCAATTTGCCAATATAAAGACACAGGCTAACAGAATGGATATAAAAACATCTTTCTGCTGCATACAAGAAACATACCTCAACTTCAAAGACAAACATTACCTCAGAGTAAAGGGTTGGAAAAAGATTTTCCAACTATGCTGACCTAAGAAGCAAGCTGGTGTGGCAATCCTTAAGCATTTTTCAACAACTACCTAGCAACTTAAGCTGTAATGTTTTTTGTTTGTGTGTCTATGTTAACAGTGTTTAAGCAATTCTAATGCCTTCTTAAAAAATACTAAGGGGTGAATCAATAATATTAATTTTTCTAAATCACTGTTCCTTCTTGGTTTCTAGTCTTACTCTCTAATTCTTCATAGATCCATGCTCATTCTCATTTCTTCTTTGATATTTTGATCATAAGAGCTATCAATAGTGTTCAACTTGCAACCGCAGGTGACCACATTCAGCTGAATAACAATGAATGTGACCTAACACAAAATCTTAAACATATTTAGAATATTATGATTTTTGTGACAATTTTGATAACTTATTTTTAAAGATTTCTGTGTGTGTGTGTGTCTTTGTGTGTGTGCACGTGCATGTGTGTGTGTAAGAACAGCATATGTGTGCAGGTGCTTTAGAGAGCAGAAAATCCTCTTTTTCTGCGTTGGATTCTCTGGATCTGGAGTTATAGGTGGCTGTGAGTCACCCTATGTAAGTGGTAAGTAAAGAACTTGGGTCCTGTGGAAGAACAGCTTGACTCTTAACCACTGAGCTATCGTTTCCCCCAATTGCATGGTTCTTGAACATGAATTTTGTATATGATTGCATCATTTTACAATATGAAAATTAGAAACATGTCTGGTAAGACCTTTGACTTGAATCCTCACTGCTAGTTGTATGACTTTGGGTAAGTCACAGATCTCTCTGAGACATTGGAACCTTATCTAGAAAGCAGGAATAACAATGGTACCACTCTTATGGGTTTCGTGAACATTAAATGAGATAATAATGGAAGCAATGCACAGCATCTGGCATAAATATAATCCTCAGCAATGTTATATACGGACTTATTATTCCTATTTAATACACATTACTGATAATAATTATTTTGTATGTAAAATTGTTAAAAAAATTGTCTGTATTGTGGGAGAGCTGGCCCCAGCCCTCATCTGCCAGTGTGCAATGATGGCAGGTACAGGAGAGCTGTCCCAGCATCTTAGGCTGTTGAGTGGGCATTGGAAAACTGGCCCCTCCCTTGTCTGGACAACACTCTGCTCTCCTCAGTTGATGGCTTCTGGTGCAGATGCAGGTGGAGAAAGAGTTATTCTCACTTGGGAGGCTGGTCACTAGGAATAAACAATACAAAATTGACTTGTATTTTTCTTTTCTTTGTGGAGGGAGTGGTCACAGTGGAGGGGTGCAGACATAAGAAGATTGGGAGGTGAATGCAATCAGGGTGAATGATGTGAGATTCCCAAATAATCAATAGAAAAACTTGCCCATAATCTCACTACCAAATAGGGAAACATAATCAAAAGGAAGTTGTGATTTTTATTGATTTTATGTCAAATGCCCTCTTACAAAAACTTTAACAATAGTGTGATTATAACCTTTGCTTAGTTACTTAAATTATAAAAATCACTTTAACTTTCCATGTATAAATAATTATTATTTAACTAAATATTAATTAATTTTTATTAACTAAATAATTAGTCATATAGTTATGCCATTTTCATTTTAAGATTTGAGATTAATATATTAATTTATTAAATGCATTCAATTAAATCATAGAATTACTCTCTAACAATTTTAAGACAAAATGCTTAACTGAACATATATGTTTGTGACAAATTACTTTGCTAGAAACAACAACAACAAAGCAGACAAAATACCTTTGCAATAAGGGACAGGTTGGCTCCAGGTACCCTCATGAGTACAGACAAGCAATGCCTCTCCAGCCAGAAGGTAACCATGGTGACAGCTGTACATGACTGACATTCCAGGAGAAAATCGAGCTGTATTCTCACCAGTATGATTTCCATTGGCAATTGTGGATGGAGAAGGACAACCTAAGAAAGCTTGGAGATCAACAAGGAAAGATTTAATAGGGCAAAGAATAACATTTAAACAACACAATCCCCGAGTATAGTAACACAGAAAAGCAATGTGAAACCAGCAAATTAGTTAATTCTCAAGTTTGGATGAATGTGTGCTTTTCCTCTCTATACCATATATGATTAGGAGAAAAGAGTAGAACACATGATGCTATGGTGCTATATCTGTAACTTTGGTCTACAAATATAATTTATTACTTTATGCTATTCTATTATAATCCCTCAATTGAACAAGAGTAGTGGTTTTTACAACTAATTGATCTATTATTTTTCCTCTATGTTATAAACAGGCTATTATCTAAGCATCAAACATCCTAATATCAACAAACAGATGCCCAGGAACAAGGAAGTGAAATCACACTGTTGGGGGCTATAGACCCCCAGACCCTGAATTTCCTGTAAACAGCTTGTTTTTCCTATGCTTGCAGCTGCTCTGAAAAAAAACAACTTGTTTTCCTGTGCTTGCAGCTGCTCTGAGCATAAGACAGGGGAGTGGTTTCTGGTGGCTTTGTAGCTGAAAATCCTGAAAGCTAGGACATGGCCATTGGTGAGGGAAGGCACTATATAAGCTGCCCTGGAACACAATAAAGTTGGCATTCTTGGGGAATTCAAGGATGACTCCTCTCTCTCTCTCTCTCTCTCTCTCTCTCTCTCTCTCTCTCTCTCTCTGTCTGTCTGTCTTTCTCTCTCTCTCCCTTTCTGTCTCTCTGTGTATTTCAATTTCAAAATATTTTTCAAGTATTTGCCAAAAGTTGTGCACACTTTTCCAAATAAAGTCATAAGAATGAATAAATTATAGATTGATTAATATATAAATTAATCATTATAATTTCAAGCTCTCTTGATCTGTACAAAGGAAAGAGAAAAAGGAATCAAGTGAAGAGAAAGGAAAAGGCAAATCATCTTATAAAACACTAACTGCTATAGCTTTTAGATGCTTTAGGTAGAATACATACTCAAAAGCCTTCTTTATTTTGTAAAAGATTTCACTTTTAACCAATAAAAATGGCTTACCTACTCTGATACAAGTTGGTATACTTGGTAGCCACGTGTTATTGGTATGACACCTTATCAAGTGACTGCCATTCATAATGAAGCCATGATTGCAGGCAACATGTAGTATGTCATTATGGGAATATGCAGAATGAGTTTTATTGAGTTTGTATCCATGTTTGACTTCTGGATCAGGGCAGTGAGTTGGAGGAGAAGATTTTAAGCACTTTGGTGGAGGTCCACTCCAAGATCCATGTCCTTTAGGATCATTTCTACATTGCAAACTTTTCTCTCCCTGAAGATCAAACCCTTGATCACATTCATAAAAGACTTCATTTCCATATAGGAAGTGCTCTATCATCATTCCTGTATGTTTTCCATTTGCAATTTTTGGTGGAGGTTGACAGAGAATAACTGCAGAAGAGATTTGGAGAATTTGAGTCTTCGTCGTAATATAAACACTATACAAGTGCCTTATAATTTATATGAATAGAAAATTATTTAAATTTTGGAAATTAGAACATGAAATTTATTTGCAAATTGATCCCAAAAATTTCAGAAAATAAAATGAAGTATAAAGGAAGAAATATAGCTGTGTTCCTATATCCTAGAAATATCCCACATATTTTTCTATTCAGTAAAATTAGAATATATATGTATATATATGCATATATATACACACACACACATTCACATTCATAAACATATGGTAAATACTTACTCCAACTTGGCAAATTGTTTACTAATACCAGCATTGATCAAGACTAAAATATTTTCCATATCTTATACATAGTAAGGAGAAGTATAAACTATTAAAGAAGTTGTAAACTTCCTCTCCACTAACTGATTATCCCTTTCTAACTCCCTAATTCATGGTTGGCTTCCCCAATGTCCATAATTTACCTTTACAAACTGCAATCTTTTGGAACCAAGTCCCATTCTCAGCATTTTGACACTTTTCATAAGTATGTCCAGTCAATTGGTACCTAGAAAAAGTTGTTATACTCATTTATTTTCAATATTTTACCTCTGCAACATAGACTGTATAACCACAGAGGTACTTCTAAATGTCAGTTTTAGCACAAAGAAACATAAACTCTTGGCCCTCCAAAAAAGAAAACTATTTCTATATAAGAAACTCTCAGCAAAGCTCTTTCCATGTCAGAAAAGCAGGCAGAACCTGCTGCTAGTTAGATCATTGTGGGTTGAAGCATGAGGAATCACCAAAGGGTTTTACCAAGACACAACTCTTTCTTAGAGTAGACAACTTCACACTCACCCATGTTGACAGGCTCTATTCACTAGTTTTATGTGTGAATCATCTGGAAGGTCATGAAGTTCTCGCATAGGCTCACATCCTTCTGGGGGGACAAAGTTGAAACTGTTTTTAGGTTACTTATAGCATAAAGAAAAATGACTCAGGAACCAAAATAACCTTCAACTTATGGGCAAGACTCTATTGTCCCGAAGGTGGATTTGTTTCCCGTAACTTGTGGTAAAGGTCACAAGTATATCGTTCACATTATTCCAGATACAGAGGAGCATATTTCTACATGCACATCAACAATGGTGGTGCCCAAGAGGGTGGTGGCCTGGAGAGCGAACTTGCCATATAAACAACAACAGCAGCACTCTATTCCAGAACTGTAAGAACACAAAACAACTGGTACCAATTTGAAACTTTGAAGGCATGGTTCAGTAAGTTCTCATCCATCATAGAATGTTTTCTGTTCTGTGGCTGTACTAGTGATCCTGGATTCATGCTGTAGGAAACTAGTCTATCTACTGTCTGACTTTAGGACTGTGAAGTCTTGACTATGATGTGAATGTTCCATTAGTTACTTGGTTGTCTTTTCTACTTCTATAAGGACAGCTAGGGGTGTTACACAGAAAAACTCTGTCTTGAGAAAAAAATAAAAAACAGAAAAGAAAATTATAAATAAGTATAATGCCATTTAAAATTCCCATTGGGTTTGACTTTTTACCTTTTTTGCAAAGTGGTATTTCAGGATCCCAGGTATTATTGGCTTTACAACGAATCTGACTACTTCCATTCAAAATGTATCCATTGTTACACTTGAAAGTCACACTATCATTGTAGAAATATGGGGCTCCTTTGCCAGGCAGCTTATATCCATTTGCCACACGGACATCTGAGCACTGCACAGCAGGGAGGGAAAGTTTACAGAGAGGAGCAGGGCCACTCCAGGAGCCTCTCCCTCCGCTTCCACCTGTACAGTGGATGCTGCGTTCCCCAATGAGGTTGAATTGCACTCCTTCCTCTGGCCCGGGATAACACGTGTAGGTGACCACAGTTCCATATGGGACATCTTCCGAGAAACTCCCTGTATGTGTCCCATTGTAGATAATAGGAGGTGGTGGACAGGTAATTTCTATAGACATAAAAAGATACTGTAGACATCTGAACCAGGGTTAGACGTGCAACAGTTATGACCATGTTTCTATGAAGGGTGTGGATGAATGTTCATGCTATGAGCTATATTAAACATTATTGTATATATAAAATTTGATTTTTATGAAAATAAGATTGGTATGAAAATGAATATGAGGTATTAAGACTCAATATTCACTAATTAAATTAATAATTATTTTATCACGGTCAATATGAGAATAAAAGGTACAAGTGACAGAATCACACTTTTGGAGTATATTTTGTTACAATAGTTATTTGATTGACTAAGGATAGTTATTGTTGGTTGAGCACCTGCTTTACAATAGGAATTTTCATCATCCAGAAAGTAGGTACAGTACCATTTTATTCTAATAACCCAAACGTGCAGTTTAGTGGAACTTTTACAGATGAGACTAGAGTTTCTACAAGTCATATATATTGCCAAAGGTCATACAGGTATTAGACAGTAGGAACAGAATCTGAGTCCATATTGGACATCAGTCTCCTAATCTCTTCACTAAACCTTGATGTAAACCAAAGTAGGGTAGTGACTCAGATAGTTATCACCCTCTATATTCTGATAATCCTAAACCACAACATAAACTTGGTAACTAAGTACATGGAATTTGACTGATTAAAGTAGTAAGAGGTGAGAGAAGAAAGATGACAAAATAAATAGCCATAAAACTTGACAAAATAGTGTGCTAATTCCAATAACACAGCCTAAAATAGGGCACTCATCTATTTTATATCACTGTAAGTCCTCTGTCATTTTTGTCACTCACCTTTACAAAGACGAATCTCTAAAAACCAAGGAATTGTACCTTGGCACAGCTGATAAGCACTCTCACTTAACTGGGACCTGGAGACAAAGAGTCATATCATTTGACTATGTCATTAACAATAAGCTAAGCAAGCACTATGGGCTCCAGAGGCAGACTGACAAATTTTAGGACAAAGTGCAACAGAAAAAAAATATAGCCTACTTCAGCACCATCCATCCATTGTACAGTTTCCACGCATGGAAAAGCATTGTGATAAATAACCCATGAGCACATGACAAAGGAAGACCTTTAAGGCGAACTCTTACACACAGTTTTCAGTGGGTACTGATAAGACAGACCTCATTCAGGATGAGACATGCTTTACTCACCCCTCCTCACAAGAAGAATTAACAGCTGTCCTAATAAACTGATTCTGAGGCCTCTTAAAGAGATGTGGTCCTTCTGGTTTACATTCTGCAACTAAGAAAAAAAGATAAAAATGAGTAACAACACAAGACAATTTTAGGCTAAATATCTGTAGTTGTAGTGCAATACCTTTGCACTGGGGGACAATGGGTCTCCACTTTCCCTCAGGAGTACAGTGTATAGTATCCTCTCCCACCAGTAAATAGCCAGGGTCACAGCTATATCTTATGGATGTTCCAGGATCAAAGGTGAGGAAGTGCCTATCTTCTTTTTGCCCATTGATGATTTTAGGAGGAGCTGGACATTCTAAAGGAAAAACAGATACAATAAAACAATTTTAGAGTAAAAAATAGAAACTGAGCTAAAGAAGTCAAAATTAATAGAACCCCATTCTCATGGCAGTTGTCTGGAACAGAAGGTATTTTTGCAGTCCTTGGGTAATTTCATGTTATCATTTCTCAGTTATATTTTCTTTTCTGTACTCAGACTGCCATTGATCTGTTAGGCTCCTACTTGCTATAACTCATTTCCTGCACCCCAGTCAATCCACTCTTTTTTAATTCCTTTCACTTTTCTTTTAAAAGACAGGATTTTACTCTATACCCCAGGTTGATTTCAAATTCACAACCTTCTTGTATCAGTCTCCCCAGTTGCAGCATTTTTGACATGTGCCATCACACCAGCTTTTACCTTCTGAAGGAATTATCTTAGAAGACTTTATGGAAGATTTTAATATACCTGCAGGTGAAAGCTTTGGTAATTTCCCTTTTAAAAATTACTGTTAAAGCTGGGCAATGGTGGTGCATGCCTTTAATCCCAGCACTCAAGAGGCATAGTCAGACGGATTTCTGTGAGCTCCAGGCTAGCCTGGTCTACAAGAGCTAGTTCCAAAGCTCCAAAGCTACAGAGAAACCCTGTCTCTAAAAACCAGGAAAAAATACTGTTAAGGCAAACAAGTATTTTTGCTCTTATGTTTCTTAAAGAAATGAACAACTTAGTAAACTTTAGAGTATTTCCATAGAGGCGAGGGAGGGCTAAGAAAGACTTCTTTGTTATTTATATCCACTATTGTGTGACTGAATGTATGGGGACTACAAAGGACCCTGTGTAAAGTCCATAGGCCCTTCCTCTAAATTTTTGAAATGATTCATGCTCTGATAGCACCCACCTTTTTCACATACTGGTACTGATGGCTCCCATGTGCCTTGGGCATTGCATCGAATTCTCTTGCTGCCCTTCAAGTTGAAGCCAGATTCACAAGACAATATCACAGTGTCATTATAGGAATATTTATCTTTCAAAATAGATAACATTTGACCTCTATCTATTTGTGGTTTTAGACATTGAACTGCAGAAGTCGAAAGTTCACAACGTGGAGCAGGGCCACTCCAGATCCCACTCTTCTTACTGTCGCTGGTACAATAGATAGTCTTCTCCCCAATAAGAATGAAGTTCACTCCTTTCTCTGGGCTTGGGTCACAGGTGTAGGTAACTGTGCTTCCATATGATACATTTGCTGAAAAGCTGCCTGTATGTCTTCCATTAAGAACAGGTGGAGGTGGGGGGCAGAGAATTTCTAGAGAAGGCAAAGGACAGTGATTTCTGAATCTGCAATGAGTCATTCAGTTAACTAATGTAATATAATTAAAATGTGATTTTAAAACTTTATTTTTGAGTATGTCTCCTTTGCTGAATTCTTCGTTCTTGTTACCAAATACACAATCTTCTTTATGTGCATGGCTCAAATTCCCTCACTAAGAACATGAGTCTTTGAGAGAAAGAAAAGTTACTTGCTTCATTTGACTTAAACAGAGTAAAAAGATAACTGAAGGGCATTGCGGTGTAGATCAGACCCTTAAGATTTCTAGTTTTGTTTTATTTTGCTCACGCGTGCTCTCTCTCTCTCCCCCCTACTTTCTTTCTTTCTTCCTTCCTTTCTTCCTTCTTTCCTTCCTTTCTTTCTTACACACACACACACACACACACACACACACACACACACACCCCACACACACGCTTATAGGAAAGCCAAGGATGCATTGTGTGTGAACCCCTGTATTTCCTTACCAAACCACCATTGTCTTACCTACCTTTACATATTGGCTTCTTGGTCCAAATGGCTTTCTGTTCAACAATTACACACTGACTAGAAGGTTGTCCTTGTAATTGGTATCTGGAGACAGGTTGAAATTTAGTACTATTAGGCAGTTTGTGTTGAAAAACTAGTAAGCTTGACTTTAAATCTACTATAGGTCCATTTAATCTGTACAGTTACCCATTTATTATTCTCTTGCACTACCTCATTCCAGATTATTCCTGAATAACATCTAGGCTCATTCACATTCTTTCTCCTGACTTTATAGTGTGGTGGGACAATTCTGTATTCTGTCAATTATGTTTTAAATAAATACTGATTGCCTAGTAGCCAGGCGGGAAGTATAGGTGGGACAATCAGACAGGAAGTAGAGGCAGGACAATGAGAACAGGAGAATTCTGGGAAGAGGAAAGCCCATTCCCCTGCAGTCCTGCCCAGACACAGAAGAAGGAAATTGTGACTGCCTCACTGAAAAAGGTACCAAGCCATGTGACTAACACAGATAAGAATAATGGGTTAATATAAGTTATAAGAGTTAATAAGAAGCCTGAGCTAATGGGCCAATCAGTAGATTAATGTAGACCTCTGTGTGATTTTTTTGGGGGGACTTAATGATTGCAGGAACTGGATAGCCAAAGGTATACAGAAACCTCAGACAACATTATAGTTTACAGCAGGCACATATAATCTAAGGGCATTAAAATTTACAGACCCTCCTGATACTCACCCTTCATTACAGGAGAAGTGCACAGTTTTGCCAACCTGAAGACCTATAGGTTCTTTTATCTGTCCATTGGGAAACTGTCCTGGAGGTTCACATTTGGCCTCTAGGAAAGAATGGCAAGAATAAGAAGTAAGTCTTGGCAAATATCAGGCCAGTTCTCAGTAGATAGTAAATTTAAGATACCTTTGCATGTGGGGATGACACCATCCCAGTCTCCCGAAGATAAGCACTTAATTGTCTTTTTTCCATCAAGCAAATAACCAGAATCACAACTGTATGTCACAGACAACCCTGGAATAAACTTGGCAACATGCTGTTCTGTACGGTGTCCATGATCGATCTTGGGAAGTGATGGGCACTCTTGACGGAAATCTTTATACATACACAAAGGAGAAAAGGCCATCAGATAATATATACTTAAGAATCTAGATGCCAGCTTAGAACACAGATCTAAATAAATGGCATGCAATCTTTGATGACCAGTCACCATCAGTTTTCAACTCAATCCCAACCAGATATGGCTTGTTTCCTTTTATGCAAAACAATTGCAATTTTGGGAGGATAGGGTCTCACTAAGCAACCCTGGCTGTCCTGGAACTCTCTATGTAAATCAAGCTATCTTTAACTCACAAAGATCCACCTTCCTCTGCCTCCCAACTGCGGAGATTAAAGGTATGTGCCACTATACCCAGTTTTATTGTTCTATTTTCATTTTTAGTTATATTTTTGCCTTGAGAAAAATTTCAGTTGCTAGAAGGCTCATTTTTATTCATCTTTAAGCCTATCATTCAGAGGGTTACCCTAATAAACATTACTAATACAATTTATCATTATCTTATATATAGCATGCATATAAATATGTACATTATGCATAACACATACTATTCTAATTTCTTTTTATTACTTGATAAAAGTATTAGATTTTTTTCATTTGAATATGTATAGGTTCACCAAAATCTTTAAGGTTTTTTCATAGACAATCCATTTTGACGTTACTGGTAATCAACCTATTGATATATAAGCAAGATAAATATAATTTGTGGTACTTGGGACTGAACTAGGCAAGCACTCTGCCATTGACTTATACCCACAATGCCTTTAGTTACTTTTTATTTTGAGACAAGATCTGGCTAAGTTGCCCAGGCTGGCTTTAAAAACACAGTATGAACCAGGTGGTGGTGGTGCACACTTTTAAACTCAACACTCGGGAGACAGAGGCAGGCTTATCTCTGTGAGTTCGAGGCCAGCCTGGTCTACAAGAGCTAATTCCAGGACAGGCTCCTAAGCCTGTCTCAAAAACAAAATAAACCCTGTCTCAAAAACAAAAATAAAAACAAAAAATTACAGTGTGGCCCAGGCAGGCCATGGACTTGTAATCTCTTACTCAGCCTACTGTGAAGCTGAGATTGCAGCTGTGCCCCAAAGTCAGAGTGCTTCCTATGTTCTATAATCTATTTAGAATTTATCAATATTGTTCTTTATTAAAATGTTTTGATAGTATAATTTTGTCAAATACTGACAATTTCTATGCCCACAGAATTAAACTTAAGAATTAGATTCAGTAACAATATAAACTAGATGAAACATGAATAAAACATTCACAGTAATATGCTAATTGATTTGAAATGCTAGAGCCCAGGAGATGGTGTGAGTAGAGAGTAGATCTCTTGTGAACATGTTTGCAGAGACACCCTGGCATTGGGGATGGGTTCCCAAAAGTCAGCTCAAACTCCAGGGACAAGACCTATACAATTCAGCCTTTGGGAGCATGCAACAAAATAATCTGCCCATAAATGGAAGATCCTTGTCTTCCGTGAGGTTCCACTTCCGTACTCAACACTCTCACAGGTTGGCAGTTCTCAGGTCTTGATGAAGCTTCATTTTCACACTCAACGCTCACAACTGGTAAACCCCAGGCCCTTGACTAGGTTTTATTTCTATACTTACTGCTCTCACAGACTGGCAGTGGTGTTGGTCCCCACTCATTATTTGCTTGGCACCAGACTGTTTTGTTTCCTTTCATGGTGAAGTTGGCTTTACAGGTAAATGTCACAGAATTACCATGTTTGAATGGTAGTGATCCAGATTGTTTACTTTTGAATCCTCCTAGTATGCTGGGCTCTGAACATTCAGAATCTTTATTCAATTTTTCACATACAGGAGGAGGTTTATCCCAAGCGGCCTTCACTTGATCTTTGCTTTTACAAAAAATCGTCTTTTCTCCAATGAGGCGGTAGTTACGTAAACAACTGTACTGCACAACAGTGTCAATGGGTATGGGAAGAGAATAATGGAGTGTCCGAGCATTTTTGACTTCAGGAGGAGGGTCACAAGAAATCTCTGAAAAGTAGAAGAGACCAGATGAGTATATTAATCATTAAGAAAATAAGTAAAAGCTCCAAGTATAGGTCAAGTCACTTTTCAAGAAATATTCCTTAGAAATTGAATGCTTGGCTATGACTTTACTTATAGTGTTTTAATTTCCAAATGCTTATGTTCTTACTTCTTTCTTGATCCTTGTCAAAGAAATCAATATGAATCACTCTAACCAGACAACAAAGAATAGAGAAAATAGAAAAAAATTTATCTAATCTATACTTTCAGGGATTTTTCTATAATATTTTCTACTCTACTTTTAATAAAAAGGAAAAATATGTTAATGACATGCTAATTGCTTGTAGGGAGCCAATGTGGGCTGATTTGGGCTTAATAGCCCTAATTTCAAAACCTCACTGTCATTCAATAGCTGTATGACCTTAGGCAAGTCGTACCCTCCCCTAGCCTCAGCTTCCCAGTCTATAGTTCAGGCTACATAAAGTATGATAAGAATACAGAGAGACAAAAGCATGTGAAATGAGCAGATCCAGTACCCAAAGTACACTAGTTATTCAGTGCCTATTTGAAATATGCGGGTGGCATAGTCACATGAGACACTGTTACCGAAGACACTGCAACCTCATTACAAGTCATTTGTAATACTTTAATCCTGGATACCTTTGAGAAAACCATTTGAGTATTGAGCTCATATTCTTTATACATCCTTAAGAGTATTAGCTGTTAACAGCTACTATGACATATATACATCTTTTCTGGACAAGTTGCAGAATGAATTTCCAGTAATGTCCACTTGACCCTAGATGGAGCTCTTGAGTACAAGACATGACATATGGAGGCACAACCAGAGTTTTAGTACTATGCTTAGTTTTGGGGCTATGCTTAGTTTTGTTACAGGCAATTTTCAAAGCCTTTGTTACTTTGTTTACAGAATCACAATTTAACAAATTTAACAAGTGAACAAATTTAATACTTTTTCCCTGCATTTTTAAAAAGAGAAAAGTGACAAATATCTATTTAAATTACATAGTTGGGTGAGGTGTTTTATTTGATAACTGCATGGGAATACAGAATCAAAAGACAGGATCTGTATTTGATTATGTTTATTTTCTACTCACGTTCACAAACAGGAAACTTATTGTTCCAGATTACTGTCTCTCCTTCTGGGACACACTGACTAGAAGATTTGCCATTTAACTGGAACCTTAAACAATAAGGAGCAGCAAATCATCACTAGAACAACCCATCTTTCAATTGTACAGATTGAATAACTTCTTTCAAGTATTTGTAGGATGGTATGCATTTTAAAATATTTATGACTTAAGAAAAAGCACATAGTTATTTGTGAATCTGCTCCATCAAACAATAAATCAATAATGGATTAAAACATACAAAAATGCATCTTTTCTTTAGAATTCTCCCTCTCCTCTTTAGCATCCACATGTCAAGAGTATCTAGATAATTTTGAGGAAAACAGTCTCAATTCCTATGGAGAAAATAGCAAAGACATTGTTACCCAAACTTATTTCAATGAGTATCACTAAGTCCAAAGTTTTCATTCATTCTCCATAACAGGAGTCTTAATTTGTGAACCAAAACTTTGAATTTCCAGATGATGAAATGACATTTCCTACTTTTGCTGGTCAAGCACAAAATATACACACTTCAAGAAAAGAAAAAGGAATTGGTTAATGACAGAGTTCTTAGTCAGAAAAGGTCAAGAAAAGGAAAGAAAATATAAGACAGTAAAAGCTTAACTAACTTTAGAATTCATATTTTGAAATCGTTATGGGAAACCATCAGGGCAGGACCTATCACGTCACACTCACCCTTTATTACAAACAAAGGAAACCTCTGCCCCAAGTTGGAGATTAGAAGGAAGAAACACACGGCCATTGAGAAGTTGGTTTGGAATGGCATCACATGATTTCACTAGGAAAAAAAAGAGACAGCTTGCACATGAAGAGTCAGGAAACAGTTGAGTTTCCTTTGAATATAGTAGAGTGTCTAGGCACCTTCACATGTTGGGGCTGCATGGCTCCAGGTTCCAAAGGATGTACACTGGACCAAGTTAGTTCCAATGAGATTATAGCCAGGATCACAGGTATATGTCACTTCCTGGCCTACAGAAAAGAATTCCTTATCTTTTTCGTTATAATCACCATGATGGATGTTTTCAGGTGGTAGACATCCTGAAGAAAGAATAGGACCAGAAAGTTCTTTTATTTCTGCAATAAGAACTTTATTCTTCATAACTTACAGCTAGTTGTCTTGTGCTTAGTTGGGTGGGATACAGGGGTTCATAGCAACTCTCCCATACTAAGGCTGAGAAGTAGGGTCATAGAGTGGGCTTAATGTGCCTTTTTCTGCCCAGATGTGAAAAGCCATATGTTTATCTGCATTCTCTTTCTTGATCCATGCCGGTGAATATTACTGTTACTCATTTTCACTTTATTCTATTAAAAAATCTGAGATAGCCTTCCATCAACAGGCTAGAAAAGGAACCAAACTTTTATAACACAAATTTTCCCCACCCAAATCTGCCACATTCTTTTAAGTTAAAAAACAAAGCTTCTGAGCCTTCTGAATTTTGTTGCCAGGCTTTTAAAAAGGCAGACAGTTTATATTAGGAGTAGAAGGAGAGAATGGGGGCCACAGGCTCAAGATAACTATCAGCTTTCTTCCACAAAACTTATTTTCATTATCAAGATGGATCTCTACAAAATTTTGAATCAAATTCTTATCTTAGTCAATTCCATCTTTCAGTATGACCAATATAATGAAGAATTTATCTTCATTTAAATCAAATATAATTATCTAAAACTCTAATGATGAACTTTTGTATTGGGTTTTAAAATTACTTTTATTCTTTAAAAGATGTAATTGTACATATTTATGATAACCCACGTGATGCTTAGATAAGTATATTGTGTAATATGAAAATAAGGGTAAACGTCTGTCTTCTAAAACTTATTTCTTTGCAAGTGAAAACTTTCAAAATCTTTTATTCTAGATTTTAAAATATATATGAAAAGATATAATAAACTGTGGGAATTCTACTGTTTATAGGGACGCTGGAACTTATTTCCCCTATCTAATCTGACTTTTGTTTCTGTTCTTAACAGCATTTGATATATTGTACAATGGAGGCGTCTTTATATGTGTAGAAATTGATTCAGGCCCTCATGCCTGTGTGTGTGTATGTGTATGTATGTGGGAGTGTACACTGATACATATGTATATAGAGGAGATTATCTTATTTTATGAGACAAGGGAACTGGCTCACCAGCTAAGCTAGACTGGCTGCTTGTCAGCAAGCCCTAAGGATCTGTCTGTCTCTGCCTCTCAGATTCTGGGATTATAAGCATGTGCCACTACAAAAGGTATTTTTTAATATATGGGTTTTGTTTATTAAGCTCAAGCCTTCACATTTGTACAAGCACTTTATACACTGAGCCAACTTCCTAGTTCTATATTTTTTGATGAGTCATTATAAAGTGAAGAGAAGTCATATATAATTGTGGTTTGATTTGCGTTTCCCTGATGATTAGTAATGTTAAACATTTTGCCATGTATTTGTTGCCCAGATACCCAAAGTTTCAGCTCAACTTACCCCTGAAGCATGTTGGCAGTGGAGGGCTCCATTTTCTGTTTGGCTGGCACCACACTATACTGCTGCCTTTCATAGTAAAGCCAGGCTTGCACTTAAACATTACTGTGTCATTTAAGAAGAAGGAACGTTTAAATCCAGACTCCACTTCTCCATTTTCAATTTGTGGCACTGGGCACTTGACTATAGGAATACACTGAGGGGGTGGACTGTTCCAGATGCCAACTTGATTGTCTTTGCTGGTGCAATGTATTGACTCCTTACCCACCAGGTCAAACAGTTTTTCCCCATTTTTTCCAACATGGCAATGATACTTTACTACCATTCCATAGAAAAAGGTGTCTCTACTGCTTCTGTAAACGTCCCCATTGGCAATGGCTGGAGGTGACTCACAAGGAATAGCTTTTGAAGGGAAGTAGTTAAGAAAAGAGAGAAGGCATTGAAATGTTATATTTTCTAAAAATTTAGTCTTCATTTTCATAAACCAAACTTAAACTTTACCTACAACTTATTTTTAATAATGAAATTCTGTATTCTGATCAAATAAAAATAAGTCAGAAAGGAAAATACATGGAACTGGCTGATTAAAAAGTCAAAAAGCTATGAGGCCAGACAGAGTACAGAGTCTGTTACTAGAGACTTCTTGGGGTGATCTAATTTTACTTGGTTGCATTTGTCATGTGTAAACTCATGCATATTTTAAATTTAGGAACCTATTCATCACTAAATAACATCATAAAAGAACATTAATGGAATAGTGTGATAGGATTAGAGATCATGGAAGAATATCAGTCAGAGCTGTGTCCATAATAACCCAAACCGAGTGAAATGTCTCAGGCACTCATTTTTATGCGCTGATACCTAGTTTCCCTTTAGAAAGGGATAAGAAAAATTTAGTAGGATGCCATAAAGAGATCATTTTACTCACATTCACAAGTAGGCCTGTCATTATCCCAAATTAGATTATTGTCTGAGAGAATACATGTAGCAGATGAGTCACCAATGAGTCGATATCTGGAGGCAAAGACGTGCTTGATCACATCTGGGTCACACTTAACACTTTAGAAAAGCCTAATTTTTTCCACTTAAAGAATGAGAAAAGGGTAGAATAACATGCATGATATAGTGAAATAGTGATAAAGAAGGCTTCTTTAATAGGTTCAACTTTAGAGCAAATGAAGTCTGACTTTCTTGTCAATAACACCGGAGACTTAAAATTGAAGCAAGGTAGCTCCATCTTCTTTCTTTCTAAGGATCCCCTTAACTGAGCAACACTGAAATGTTATTTCTAAAGCATACCAAGGAGGCCATGCTTCTGTTTTTATTCATACTAAAGGGTTTCTGGTTAGAAATATTATTTCTGTATCCATATACCCTGAAGAGGCTTCCTGCCTACTCACCCTGTATTACAAGAATATGTAATTGTTGACCCAAACTTGATACCCATACTTATATTCACAGAGCCATGGAGGAGGTCTCCAGGAGTTGTACAAGATCTACCTACAAGGAAAACAAAACAGGATTTGGGGCGGGGATTGAGAAGACTTTATGCGTTTTTTATTAAATTCCTTGGCTGGACTTGCTGATTGTTCTGTGTATGTTTTCTCAAAGCAATTTTTGAAATTTGTAAAATGTGTGCTTTCTCAAGGAGAAACACTGTTCAAACCCTATTGTCTATATTTCTGTGTATGAAAGAAAACTTTACTTGTGGTCAATTCCATATTAAAAACTCTATGTTCTCATTATTAAAATCTATCAGCTAATGGCATCATTTACCAAGTCTCATATATTAAAAGCCTACAGTCATTATTTCCTCTCTATAACTCATCCTCTAATCCTTCAGTTCAATTAGTTACAAAATTTTAGGGCCTGGATTCCAGAATATCTCCCAAACCACTTACTTTGGCATTTTTATTGTTTTACTGTATTGTTGAGTGGCTGGCCTCCCTTGGTCTAGTACTTCCTCCATAACATGGCATGAGTTTCTTTTCCTTCCTTCCTTCCTTCCTTCCTTCCTTCCTTCCTTCCTTCCTTCCTTCCTTCCTTCCTTCCTTCCTTTATTTTTTTAAGATTTATTTAATTATTGTGTATTCAGTATTCTGCCTGCATGCATGCTTGCAGGCCAGAAGAGGGCACCAGATTTCACTCTAGATGGTTGCGAGCTATCATCTGGTTCCTGGGAATTGAACTCAGGACTTTAGAAGAGCAGGCAGTGCTCTTAACCACTGAGCCATCTCTCTAGCCCAAATTTCTTCTTTTATATATAATATAATTAATATAATAATAAAAATATAATATAAATAAATATAAATATATCAGACTTCCCACTCAAAAAATTATGATGAATTACTACTATTCACAGGAAAAAGTATACAATCTTGGAGTTTATATGTACTCAAACCATACTGATCTTTCTCCAGTTTTTCCAAAGATATCATTTCTGCTGGGTGATGGTGGTGCACACCTTTAATTCCAGCACTCTGGAGGAAGAGGTAGGCATTGCTTTGTGAGTTCGAGGCCAGTTTAGTCTACAAGATCTAGTTCCAGGACACCTAGGACTGTTACACAAAGAAACTCTGTCTAAAAAAAAAAACAAGCAAAAAACTAAAATATCAAAGATACCATTTCCTCCAAATTTCTCTTCAGAAGGCCTCAATATCCCTAATTCTCTTAGACAGCATTTACTTTCCTATGGTTGAATAGCAGTTTACCTCTACTATTAAACAACATCATAAAGCCTGGAGATAGAGTGCTTGCCTCGCCTGAACAACGCCTTGTGTTCAATCCTTGGTTATATGTTATATATGTGTAATTTGTGTTGTCCCTTACACAATCCATTGTCTACTGCTTTACTCATGTTAATTAATAAAAATATCTCTTGAATTAAATGTGGTAAGAATAAGATGAAACTAATGTTATTTTGAATACTAACATTTGATCTCTAACATAATGTAAAAATCATAGAATGATGTCAGAAAGATGATGCTAAACCATGATGATGACTTAAATCCTAGTATTCAGAAAATTTAGGAGTTAAAGGAAACAAAAAGGCTGGGATCACACTTTGCTTGCCATGACATACTAATTTACTTGTCTTTTGTCTGGAAAATGGCATACTATCCTGTACAGATAGAATGATAAAGACAAACATGGCTTGTAGGAATACTCACGATTACAGAACTGCTGAGCATCTGACCACTTGGAGTTCTTTAAGCAGGTGATTAAGAATGGCTTCCCACTATACCCAGGGAGGCATTTGTATTTCCAAGTTGTGTCAACAGCAAACTCAGTCTTATCACTCTCAATATTAGGTTTAGCAAAAGTATATCTTGGCAGCGACTTACACTGACCTAGAAATAAGGACCACAGAAATATCAAAGCTGAGAAAGGCTGAAGTTTCTCTGCTTCTCTCCTGCCACCAATTATTCTAACAAATTTGATCTTTAGACGTATTCTTGTCTGGAGCAAAATTATCTAAGAAAATTATTCTAGTATGGATAGACACAGAGAAATTCAGAGATTCAAAAGCTTTTAAAGCAGAGCAGAGAAATAATATCTGGAGAACTTTTTTCATAAAATTCCAGCCTTTTACAATTTTACAATTTAAAACTGTGGGTGGATTGCTTGTTTTTTTTTAATACAGTGAATTCAGGAAAAATAAGAAAAGCATGTAGAACTTCAATAATGAATATATAAAACTTAATATATAACACAAAACTCAGAAAGCAATAGAAGAAAATGAAGGAGGAATGCTGCAAGATGTCAGCATAGGAAAACACTTGTAAGGGTCCAGTGGCTTAGGAAATACTGCCAAGTGACAAATGAGACTTCATGAAAGTATAAAGCATCTGCTCAACAAAAAAAGGTGAAGAGATCATCTACAAAATGGGAGAAAATCTTTGCTAACTAGATATCTGATTAATATCCAGAAAATAAAAGGGAATAAAAGCATAAACATCCAAAATTCCTCATTTATAAGTGAACTAATGGAGTAAACATAGGACTCTTAAATAAAGTATAAAATGTTCAATAAATATGAAAAATGTGTTAAACCTCACTAGTCATCAGAAAAATGACAATAAAAACCACATTAAGGTTTCATCTTTCACTAGTCAGAATGACAGTCATGAAGAAAATAAGTAAACAAATGCTGAAAAGGATTTGTACAAAAAGGAACACTTTTACATTGCTGATGAGACTAAACTAGTCCAGCCACTGTAAAAATCTGTCTGGAGATTTCTCAACAAAATAATAGTAAGTAGTATTTAATAATAACAAAAATAGATCTACCACATGATAATGCACTTTTGTCAATATTTACGCAGAAGAGCCCAAGTCAGCATTCCAGATATACTTGCACATCAATGCTTATTGTAGTACTATTCACAGTGGCTAAGTTATGAAACCAGCCTATGTTCCCAGCAATAGAATAAATTAAGAAAATGTATATCTACACAATGGAACCTTTTCAGCTATCAAGAATGAAGTTATATTGTTTGTAAGAAGATGAATGTGACCAGAGATAATATCAAGTGAATTAAGTCAAATTTAGAAAAGCGAGTATCTCTTTTTTTCTCTCTCATATATATTTGAATGAGATACAAACTGTCTATAGAACAAAAGGTACTAATGGGAGGGGAAAAGATTAATAAGGGGGGGTCATAGGATATCCTCAAAGTATATTATATACTTGCGTGAGACTGGCCTTATATAACCTTATGTAATAAGATAACCTTATGTGATAAAATAGTAATAAAATGATGAGCCTATATACGTTTTGGTGGGGTTGAAGGGAAGTTATGTCAGCTATTTGTACCAGCTATTTTTCTTATCATTGTGACCAAATGCTTGACAGATACAACTTAAGGGAGGGGGGATTAGTTGGCTTATAGTCCAGGGGATACCATTCATTATGATGAGGAAGGCATATGACTGGAGCAGCTTGGTCTTTAGGGGAAGAAAACTTCAATAGCTGCTGGTTACATGACACCAGTCAGGAAGCGGAAAGTTTAGCTGGAAATGGGGAGGAGATATAACCTCCAAGGTCCACTCTCCAGATAGATCTATGGCCTTCTAAAGGTTCTACAGGACAGTTGTAGACTGTTCAGATACATGAGCTAATGGGAGACACATTATAATCAAACAATAATGGGTACAAAAAATAAAAAAATCCTCTGGTTTTATAATAAAAACAAAAAATATACATATAAAATATCTTTAAAAGTTTTTTTTAAGATTTTATTTTTTATTTCATATCTAACAGTGTTTTACCTACATGTGTGTATGTATACTATATGTGATCAGTGACTGCAAAGCCCTTAAGACAGTTATGTATTCCCTAGAACTGGAGTTGCGGGTGATTATGGGGCACCAAGTGGATGCTGGAAACCAAACCTTGTCCTCTGCAAGAACAGCAAGTGCTCTAACTACTGAGCCATCTCTCCAACCTTACAAGCAAAAATCTTATAAATGAAAGCTTTTAGCATAGGATACTAAATTATCAAAGAGATCTTATAAAATCAAATTTACTTTAATTGATTTATATGTGATACCACTTCTACCAGTTATTCTAATTAGATAATAATGTGTGATTATCAAGCATAAATAAGGACAAAGCTAAATTATCTTTCACAATATGGGAAACCATTTACATTCATAAGATTCAATCAGTGGTAACAATACAGACCAAGAGGAATGCAAGATCTGGAAACTACAAAGGAAGAGGGAACTTTATAATGTGACTTTCCATGTCAAAAAGAGGCAAGAATTTTTCTTTCTGGGTGAGGATTAATGGAAGTCTCATCTCTGGTAAAGAGACCTTGGACTTTTACTGAAACTACCCACCTCCCAGGCCTCAGTACAGAATCTCCAAAGACTGGATTCTCCTCCAATCAGAAAGGCAAAGGAGCAGGTGACTTGTCTCACTGGCTAAAGACACGGCTGTCTAACCTGACTGAACAATTGAGTTTAATCCCTGGAGCCACAGGTGAAAGGAGAGAGCTAACTCTTTTTAAACAGTCCCTGACATCCAAGCACATGCCATTGAATGCATACCCTCCAGTAAACAAATAAATACAAGTAATAATTTTTCAAATTGCATGATATGGGTTTTCTTAACAGTCCCTGTTCCCTCTTTACCTCTTTCTCGCATCAGAGTGAAGATCAGAGCAGCGACTATAACACAGAAAATGTTTCTGGAGGACAGGGTGCAGTGAACTACTTAGATCTAAGGGGCTTTACATGGATGATTTAGAAATCCTTTGGAAGTAGATGAAGGATTTATGAATGGGATGAATATAAATCTGAAAAGCTGACCAGAAATCAGGAACGGGGTGGGAGACCATTATTGAGAATTATCATCAAATGCCTTAACACTGGGACTCTGAATATCTAATAGCTGACTTTTTAAAATGAGAGTTATGTATGTTAAGGAAAATATGGTACTAAGCATAAAACATTCATCAGTGAACATAAAACGAGGTCCAGTCATCCCTAGAACTTGTTTTCCAGTAGAAGTTGTACCATTTAATGACTAGATTCACCATTAACTGCTAATTGCTACACTTGAAAGTGTCAACAATCAAGTACCGTGACCTAATTTCCCCAGCAGCCCATGATTTCTCACAGCTCTGTGGGACGGTAGCACAGCTTATTTCTAACTTCATTTCATATGTGAGAAGTTGAGTGGTCGGGGCTCTAACCGACTTTCTAACATTTACCCAGCTATTGATATTTGCTTATAGTAAATATTTTATAACCTATGAATATATTCACTACGAGAATAAATTATATCACGACTTGCCAAAATTCACCCAGCTATTGAGGTTGTCTTATAACCTATGTCTTCACTACCAGAGCAAACTATACTACTTTAAAAGCAAGCCAATCTGTGAAACAAAAACAATAAAAAACAAAAACTGTTACAGAGAACATTGAAGGAGAACCTATGTAAGCACACACTGCTACAGAAGTCACAGTCTTAAATATCCTATCAAAGTCAAACAAAATCTGAGAGCCATACTGGAGAATCAGGCATTATTCTTTAAGAAAAGCAGGGACTCAACAACCCTTCCATGGCTAGAGAGGATTTCTACATGCACAGAAGCACATGAGCCCTATGATCCTTGAACACAGCTCTTGGCTGAATTCTCAAGAGGCTGGGAGCCTGAGAGAGAGAGAACCACCAAACAGCGGCAACAATCATTCAAAAGCGCCCACGCGTGGCTCAGGTTTCAGTGGTGGTGGTCCAGTTCCCAGAAGAGGTGGGGCCATTCTGCTTCAAAGACTGACTGAGTCTCCCAAGTTGTCAGGGACAGACAAGTATCCAGAAGGGCCCCCATATCCCTGGTTTGGTCTCTAACCTTTGTGTAGGTGCAGAAAAATTTCTAGCCCTGAAGGAGTTCCCTTATCTGCACTCCCGTGCCCAGCTCACCAAGAACTCCTGGCGCGATGAGAGTGAAGAAAACCCAGAGCGAACCCAAGGCTCCCATGCCACCGCAGCGGCGCATCAGAAGGTTGCTTTCTGAGTGTTCTGAGTCTCCAGCAAGGATAGGGGGATTTGGCTAAGTGCCGGCGGCGTCTGGCTGTAAGCTGTGGGGAAGGACCATTAAATAGCGTCTGCTCCGCGCTGGGTACTGAAGACTTGTGGGGCACATCTGCAGGTGGCCAGGGGCGGAAGAGGCAGGGAGGGCGGCCCCGGATAAATCTGCTTTTGGCTCAAACTGAGTCCTGCTCAGCGCCTGGCTTGCCTACTTTTTGTTGACTGTGCAACCACGTACATTAACCTTTTCTCTGCCTAGATCTGAAACATTTCACAAAATAATACTAATCTACAATATTCGTATGTTGTGTCAATTTACAGTATTGTATTCATTAAACCTGCTTTGCATTTTGTTCCAGTAAATTCATTTCCAAACCCAATTAATATAGTCAACTCTCAGTTTGAGAAAACAACCTAAAGTGGCTTACTTAAAGTGGAAATTCAGGAATTACACTGCCTGGCATTGCAGTCTTTTTACTCTAGTGTAAGTAGTGAAAATTTTTATTTCTGTATATCTATAAAGGGGTTTCCTAAAGGGTAATATTTTAGAAATTTTGTCTCTCTATCGGTTAAAAAGTATATAAAAGTATATATCTTTGACTATGTAATTATCTTATGTAATTGCTACATTTGATATTTTAATAAATTATAGGCATTTATCTCTCCTTTATTTTAATGTGTAGTTCTTAAAAAATAAGGGCATGTTTCCACAATTATAATACAATGATTAATTGCAAGACACCAATATTGGTACATTTCTATTTTATAATTTTTACTGTATTCAAATTTTGATGATTACATCAATAGTCTGTAATGGCAAAATAAGAACAACAAAACTATACACCCTCAGGATCATATATTTGATTCTTGGGTCTCTTTTTTTTAATTTGAAAAAAAAATCTCATTTTTTAATTGAGTTAATTATAGTTTTAATGTTTAGTTTCTTGAGTTCTTTATATATTTTGGAGATCAGACCTTTGTCTGATGCAGGGTTGGTGAAGATCTTCTCCAAATCAGTAGGTTGCCTTTTTGTCTTAATGACAGTGTCCTTTGCTTTACAGAAGCTTCTCAGTTCAGGAGGTCCCATTTATTCACTGTTGCTCTTATTGTCTGTGTTACTGGGGTTTTGTGTAGGAAGTGGTCTCCTGTGACCATGTGTTGTAGACTACTTCCCACTTTCTCTTCTATCAGGTTCAATGTGTTCAGATTAATATTGAGGTCATTAATCCATTTGGACTTGAGTTTTGTGCATGGTCATAGATATAGATCTATTTTCATTCTTCTACAGGTTGACATCCAGTTATGCCAGCACCATTTGTTGAAGGTGCTTTCTTTCTTCCATTGTATACTTTTAGCTCCTTTGTCGAAAATCAGGTGTTCATAGGTTTGTGGGTTAATATCCGGGTCTTCTATTTGATTCCATTGGTCGACTTTTAATGTCTAGTTTCTTCACCATAGAACCTTCATCCGGCGATGGATGGAGATAGAGACAGAGACCCATACCGGAGCACTGGACTGAGCTCCCAAGGTCCAAATGAGGAGCAGAAGGAGGGAGAACACGAGCAAGGAAGTCAGGATCACGAGGGGTGCATTCACCCACTGAGACGGGATCTAATGTGAGCTCACCAAGGCCAGCTGAACTGGGAGTGATGGAACACGTGATCAAACCGGACTCTCTGAATGTGGCTGTCAATGAGGGCTGGCTGAGAAGCCAAGGACAATGGCACTGGGTTTTGATTCTACTGCATGGACTGGCTTTGTGGGAGCCTAGTTTGTTTGGATGCTCACCTTCCTAGACCTGGATGGAAGGGGGAGGTTCTTGGACTTCCCACAGGGCAGGGAACCCTGACTGCTCTTAGGACTGGAGAGGGAGAGGAGAGGGAGTGGGGGGAGTAGGAGGGAAATGTGAGGTGGGGAGGAAGTGGAAATTTTTAATAAATAAAAAAATTAAAAAAAATCTCCCAGAGTATTTTGTGTGTGTATGTGTGTGTGTGTGTGTGTTGTAGTATGTGATTGTACGTGTTCATGTGTTTACACATGTGCATAAAGATGTATATGGAGACTAGAGGCTAATGTCAATGTTTTTCTTATCTGCTTTCCACTCTCTTGTTTGAGGCAAGGTCTCTCTCTGAACCCCAAACTTGCAGATTATGCTAGGCTGGCTGCTTAGTGAGTTCCATTTGCCTGTTTCCGCCTCCCTTGTGCTAGGATGACAGGTATACTGGGTGTAGCTTTTTACCTGGATTCTGGAAATTTGAACTCAAACCCTGGTGCTGGTATTGACTGAGCCCTCCCCAATTCCTGGATCGGAAACTATGTTGTTCTTTCATTGTTTGTCTTTGATATCTTTGAAGTAATTATTTTTCTAGAATGGCACTCAAAGTATTTGTCTATTATACAGTATGGTAACAAATTACCCTATGATTATTGGTGGCTTAAAGTGAGACTTAATAGTACTTTTTAATTTCTGAAGTCATAATTTGGAGGAATTTAGCTGGACTGGACATCTTCTCCAATACTGTGGTCAAAATGATAGCTGGAACTACAGCTATCTGGATGACTGAGATAGGAAAAACACACAGAAGATGCACAGTCAGTGGCTGTTGGCTGGATTCCTCATTTCTTCATCATGTGTATGTGGAAAATGGACTCTTGAGTTATAGGGGTTGAAACTTCTTCCATTATGAGAGACAGCTAACTTATTTCAGATCAAGAAGAACAAAAGTCAGAATGCCTTTCATGATTCTCAGAAGTCATAATATTTTCAGAACAAAGATCAGTTCTTCTCAGTGCCAGACACTATGCATGGATGGGGATACTGGGAGTCAAAGATGAAGAGGGACCATCCTGGAGACTGGTTGCCAACATCACTCAGTTTGGTTTTATATAATGTTTCTTCACAATTAGATTGAAATTTTGCATTTCTTGGCAGAGATATCAGAGGATGGATGCTCTCGTTTGTTTGTATGTACATGTTACCTGATGGTCCTTTTATTGGTAGTGGTCACCTTTATCATATAAACAGGTTTTTACAGTTAAGTAATTATTATCCCCTTATTATTGACAAGTATTTTGGGGGAGGAATCTTTCAAAACTATATAAACACTTCATTTAAAAATCAAAATTTCACCTGCTAATTTTTGCTCATTAATAATTTTTTTATCTTACTCAATTACTACTTTATGACTCCTGTATGATAGTCAGCCGTTACATTTATATTCATTAATTGATATTCCACTGAAAAGACTTTCTCATCTATTCATTTATTTATTAATTTTTCTATATAAAATCACCACGGAACCAGTATCTATATCAATGTGAAATTACTTATTTAGTGAGCCATCATCTTTTATTGAAGTTATTTAATTCATAAATTGTACTTGACTTGCCCTGTATGAGATCTCAAAATAGTCCCTGTTTCTCTTTTGTCCAATTCTTATAAATTTCTGAGTACTTCAATTTGTGATTTTCTAGATCCACCACTGGAATTTCCTCTTTCTCTAAGGAATATTGGCTCTTCTTCTTTTTTTTTTTAAATCAGTGTACACGTTTTCATTTTGCTTTTATTGTCATGGTTAGACTCTAAACCCTGAACACTGCATTCATTGTTAGTGGAGTACCACTGCTTCTTTACCTTCTTTGCAGACAAAATGAGAAAAAGCATAAAGCTGTAGTCTAGTCCTATGTCTCTGTAAACTTTTTCCTTCTTTACATCTGCCATTGATCTATGTTACGTCTTCTAATTCCAGTCTCTGACTATAGATTTCCCCATCTTTCCTTCTGTCTCATTTGTAACTCTGTCCTCCAAAGGCAAATCACTTAGTTCCACAATATACTTATTTATTTGTTCTACAGAAAAATAAGTTTAAGAGTTGCTAAATTTATCATGGTAAAATGAAACCTGGAAAATTTTTAAGTTTTATTTTATTTGTGCCCTGAAAGCATAGAAACCACTAATCTTCAACTCACAGTATTCTCTTCCATTCCGGAACATAGAGGAACCCTAAACTGCTTAAGTTAACTAGCCTTCTCCAGTGCAATTATGTCAATCATTTATATTGGCTTATTTTCCTTTGTATTACATTTTAGTTTATTTCTCATCATTTTTACTTAGAAAACACACAGTTTTAAATATAAAAACTGTTCAAAATGTATGATCAGAGAAGTACTCTCCTTTTTCATTGTATTTTCACCTACTGGCTATAGGTAATATATTTCAGTATTTTCTTGTTTATCTATTTTATTTTTTCCCCAGTGAGCAAACACATAATTGTGTTCTTATTTCTTTTTCACATGTAAAAGAAAGTATGCTATTGCTTAGGGTTATAACCCTAACCTTCCTTTATTTTCCTTCACTTAACAAATGCATTAGACTTCACTCCTTATACAGTAAGAGATACTCCTTACTCTCTTTATTGATGCATGGTACTTCGCTGAATGGATGTACTATGACTTATTCAACCATTTTTATATGAATACATAAGGCTATTCAATAAAAACTCTCAATATTAACAGTTTCCATTCTGCACAGAGTAACAGATTAGATTAGGAAACAGGATTTATCTTTTTATTTTTATGTTTCTGTTGTTGAATGTATACCTTCAATTAAAAACTCTCCGAATGAAATTGCTTGATCAAATGGAAAACATGTATATAGTTTTATTAGCTAATGACAAATTCCTTTTTAAAAAAGTTATTTCAACTACAGAGAATTGGAAGCATGGAGTGGGAGTAGGGGAGAGGGTGGAAGGTGAGAAGGGAGGAAGGAAAGAGAGTGGGAAAAATACATAGCTCAATAAAAAAGTTTTAAAAATTTGTGTAAACATTCATTCTATTGTAGAACTCTGACATTTAGACATGACATGACTGCTGTTTTAAAAAAATCACAACATCTGTAATTATACATAGTAATCTCATAAACATGCAAAGTCCCACTCCTCTGTGAGAATATGCAAGTGGTAAACATTTGGTAATGAGGAAGACTTTTTTTCTTCAATTATATCTCCACTGTAAGCCTGTGCTCCTGCCAGGAACAACATTTAAACTCATTTGTTCACCAAGTTAGACTTATTTGGAATATTTCATG